CTACCACTTGAGCTACAGCGCCACTTCCGGTTTTCTAGTGGTTTATTGGAGATAGGAGTCTCACAGTCTTTCCTGCCCGGGCTGGCTTTGAACCGAGATTCTCAGATCTTAGCCTCCTAAGTAGCTAGGATTACAGGTGTCAGCCACCGGCGCCCGGCTTGGTTTGTTTCTTAAAGATGGAATGTTGCCATGTAGCCCAGCTAGAACTCCATGCATAGCCCAGGCTGGCTTTGAACTCTGGAGCAGCCTTCTCCCACCTCCCCAGTGCTGGGATTACAGGCATGTGTTACCACACCCCTTATTTCCTTCTAAGAGGGCTCTGTTCAAGTCAGCTTGGCTAGAGGCCCTTGTGAGTGGTGCCAGCAGTGGAGTCCGCCCAGCTGCGGCAGAGGTGCAGACGTGTGGGCAATGTCAAGGATTCTCAAGGCTAATTGCAACTACAGATGGTGGTTTTCTTCATGAGACAGGATTCACTCATGCTTTACCTATACATAATTGCCATTCCCTTCTTACACCAGTTTATTCATCTGAACCACAGACGTGGGGTATCATGGGAGTGCCTATTTTCTAAGTTTTCACAAAGAATACGATACATTTAGAATCACCAGGAGCCAGGCACCCACACCTGTTTGTCACCCCAGGGCTCCAGTAGGAAGATCGTGCATTTGAGGTCAACCTCGTCTATAAAGTGAGACCATGTCTCAAACCCAACCAACCAACCAACCAACCAGATACTATCATTTTTTTTTTTTGTCAGTCCAGACTTTAATTCAGGGTCTAGCTGCGCTGTCCCTGTGTTCTTTTGCTCAAGGCTAGTTAGTGCTCTACCACTTTGAGCCACAGCTACACTTCTGGTTTTCTGGTGGAGTCTCATGGAGGCGCTGGGGATTAGCTCAGTGGAAGAGCACTTGTCTGGCACGTATAAGACCCTGAGTTGGGTCCTTAGCTCTTGGAGAGGGGCGGGAGGTTGGGTGCCAGTGACTCACTCCTGTAATCTCCTAAACTCGGGAGACTGAGATCTGAGGATCGCCGTTTGAAGCAAGCCCTGGCAGAAAAGTGATGCTCAAGTGGTAGAGCACTAGTCTTGAGCACAAAAAGGCTCAGGGACAGTGCCCAGGCTCCGAATTTAAGCCCCAGGGTCAGGAAAAAAAAATTTATCATGGGCAGGTTGGCTTTTAACTATGATCTGCACTCATCCTCCTGAGTAGCTAGGATTTCAGGTGCAAGCCACCAGTGCCTGGCTACACTATTTTTAAATTTTTTTGTCGGTTGTGGGGCTTGAACGCTGGGCTTGGGTGCTGTCCCTGAGCTCTTCAGCTCAAGGCTAGTGCTCTACCACTTGAGCCACAGTGCCATTTCTGGTGATTTATTGGAGATAAAAAGCCTGCCCAAGCTGGCTTTGAACCATGATCCTTAGATCTCAGCCTCCTGAGTAGCTAGGATTACAAGTGTGAGCCACTGGCACCTGGCTTACACTATCATTCCTGATGCTTAGGATCAAAGTTAATTAGCCATTACAGGAAAAATGTCTTAGGGTTTAATTCTTTTTTATTTTATTTTTTTGTGTCGGTCATCGGGCCTGAACTCTGGGCCTGGGTGCTGTCCCTCAGCTCTTCTGCTCAAGGTTAGCTCTCTATCATTTGGGCCACAGCGCCACTTCCAGCTTTTTCTGCTTTGTGTGGTGCTAAGGAATCAAACCCAGGGCCTCACACATATGAGGCAAGCACTCTACTACTGAGGCACCTTCCCAGCCCCAGGGTGTAGTTCTTTTATGGACCTCTCATGGAAAATGGACTCAGACACTGACCTACCCAAGTGTTCAACTATGTTCTTATTCCAAACAACCAAGTCAACCAGCCATTCACCCACCTACACCTATATAACCATACACCCACTTTGCCCTTTAAACAACCCACCCACCCACCCGGCATCCAGTCATAGCTATCCACCAACCACCTTATCCACCCACCATCCCACCCATGAATCCACCAACTTACTCCTTGGTCTCTCTACCCACCCCCTTCTACCAAGTCATCCACCCTTCATCCTACTTTCCCCATCTACTTCCTGACCTTCCCCCTGCCAAGCTTTTCGAACTTTATGTTGAGCAGTATTAGGAACAGAGCGGGCAGAGGCCCAGGTTTCCTACCCAAAAACTCCCTGCCCGGTGGAGGCGGCCCCACAGACAGACAGACAGAGTCTCCCAGGCAGCAACAGAGGAAGCTGGTATGAAGACTGGAGGGGAGAAAGGCAGAGAGGCGGGAAGTTTTGTGGGTGAGGGCCATCAGGCCGGACACTCGGGTACACACCAGGATGCAAGCCGAGGTCCTCTTCCTCCCCATTCCCCCCTCCATAGAGCACGGCCTGGCGTGTTAGGACTGAGGGGGTGTCGCAAAACAGTTGAAGGCGAGAAAAGGCCAAAACGTGGGCTTGGGGCTCGCACAGGTCCGCCGAGGGGAACGCACCTCCGACCGGGCACGGCCCGCACAGCGGCTTCGGGGGCTCGGAGGATTTCATCAGTGCGCGCGGC